ATAGACCAGGTCGTTTCTCAAACCCATGACAGAATAAGGTTGAAAGGATGAAAGACCCTGAACTCAGACACAAAGCTCTAGTGGTCTGGAACACTTTATTTTTATATATTTTTTGCATCTCTTTTTTGTTTGTGTCTTTTCTTTGTTGTATTTGTTTTTCTCGTGTTTGCTGCGCATTTGCACCTGTCCACCACCGTAGTATTTTAACAATTGTGTATTTTAGTTCTGCTGGGGTCCATATGGTTATGTGTATTTGTTATAAGTTGCATTGTGATCACTGTTATGTGTAGAGTGTTATGGGGTTCCCTTGTCTGACTCTGCTGACTTCCACTCACATGTGATGGACCTGTCATGTGGGCAGGGGATCAGGAGGACCAGGACCGATGTTGATCTGACAGAACACCGGAAGAGCGGAGAGTTCAGAGCTTCAGCCTAAGGAATATCAGCTCGCTCTTATTTCTAATAAACCCTGTTAACGGTACCACATCTGCGGTGTGTTGGCGTCATTACAGTATTTACTTACAGTACACCACTTTAAAAGGTAATTATAGGATTGAAAAGGTAAATGTCCAGTAAAATACTGGTATCTACAGACGTCAGCTTTTTTTTTTTTTTTTTTTTTTTTTACTTTTTTTTTGAATGAACGGTAAAAAAAAAAAAAAAAAACTGGCGTCTGTAGCTACCAGTAATTTTTTTACCGTTCTTTCAAAAAACGGTAAACTACTGGCAGCTACAGATGCCAGAAGTTTACCGTTCTTTCACAGTGTCTATACCGTACGTGCATTGATGGTAATCTACTGTCAGGATTTATTACGGTACAGCTACTGTGCATTTACAGTAAACTTCTGCCGTCTATAGCTGCCAGTATTTGACTGTAAATTTACAGGATTATTTCTTAGAGTGTACACACGCACACACACATCTATATATATATATATAGGTTTTTTCATGTTTTCCAGCTGACGAGTTCTAGTTTAAGAGTGATTGCGTCCAAAATCCGATGCGAGATTCATCTGTGCTGCAGTGAATCTGTCTCTCCTTAAAGACATTTCTCTCTTCTTCCTCACATCGTGTCTTAGGGAAAACTTCAAAACAAAAACGGGAGATCTGGGAGGTATCTTACTTTGACAGAGTGAAATAAATAATAGCCATTGCCACCTGTGTAAACTCTGCTGGTGAATGTTATAACATGTAATATTACGATTTTTATAATATATATTGTTTCATTTCTATAGTAGTCTCTTGTATCAGATAATCTAAGTCAATGTTAGAGAATAAACTTTTTAAGATAATCTCG